TTAAATATTCAACCATATTTTATGCTTATAAAATATGGTTGAATAACCATTCTATAAATAATAAAACTATTTTAAATAGAAAACATTTTCCAATTTATATATGAAATAATTAATTTGATATTTTGATCATTTTTATTTTTTTATTTAAACGTTCCAATTTTCTAGGCAGTTCAATTGAACTACCTGAAGTACATGTTCGGCACCACTGTGTTGGTGTTTACTAAATACATAAGTTTAATTAATAACTGTATTTATAACATATGATTAACAAAGTAATAGAGAAACATGTTAAGTTATAAGAATATTAAAATAACGTACATTTTATTATTATCATTAAAGTACAGAGTATTTATTGTTTTTAATTGTAGTAGTAATAAAAAAAAAATAATACAAAATTTGCTTTAAATCTGATCAAAATACAACATTAAATACATTACATAATTTTTCATATTTATTTCATGAGTATTTTATTCTACGATAGTTATAGGTTATAGATAATATATTATATAAGTCAAAAGGTCAATTAAAACACACACACACATGTTCATACGTTCAAATGGTTATAATAATATGTATTATATACCTCTTCGAATTAGGAAAGCACTTAAACCTGAACAATTTTTTTAAATGATACAAAAAACAATGACAGTGTTTGAAAAATAAATTAAACTATACAATTTATTTAGTAAATGCAAATTTTTGTACATATTATAAGAATTCGTGTTTTTAATTAAATTTTTCCGAATTTTCATAACGTTTGGAACTTTATTTTATAGTAGGTATGGTTACTGCTTATAGCCATGTGAAAGAAACAGCATATTTTAATCTTTTGAACCATAGTGTACTACTAAATAGCAAATGTTCAATTAATGCTTATAGTTAGAAATTTATAAAAATTATGATTTATAATGAATTTATTATTAAATTATTATATGTTTAAACTTTTTATTGTCAATCACAGTATCACAAATTTCTGAAAACACAAACTTTATAAATTATTCATTTATGATTCAATACATAAAAATACAGTGTATATACATATAAGTATATCAATTACATCATTTGAAGAATTAAATTGTAATCTGCTGTCGAACCCAATACATACATACACTTTGACAATTAAACATCTAAAAATTACTTACCTAAGTTAATAGTGATTTTATTTTACAATTTTATTTATAATTTATTTTATTTACTTATAGCGTTTTAGTTTTAGTTCTTGCCCTCTGGTCCGCCAAAACTTTATAAATGTTTAGACGCTGGCTTTCTAGTAACTTTAAGTTGCCCATTCCTGTACACCTTACACTGCAGCATAGGCGCACAAAGTACGATGTTATTCAAAAGTATCGTTGTTCTCCACGCGACAATAATACGATTCCAAAGGATTCCGAGAATATACAATTATCATGTTATCATGCGTACACGTTGGTAATGAAAATCATTTTCGATTATTACTGCGTCGTTTGTTCGTTTTATAATTATAATTATTAAATATTGTATTAAGCTCGTAGACCATAAAAAAACTGTGACTCCGCGTGTACGTAATATTATATAAGTATCTATATTATACACACGTACAACAACAATTACTTCGAACAAATATCATACGCGCCGTTATCCGAGGAATTAAAATTAGAACGAATTTTGTCTTTTGGATGCGTCGGCAGATCGCACCCGTCCGTGTATATACGTCACGGTTAGGCAATATACTATAAAATATTTCACTACATAGTCCGTACAATAATTTAATCGATTATATGTTATAACGCTAGAAATAGCATAAGGAAATACCGAGATAGGAAATATATTTTTTCTAACGTATCTTTCCGTATCGGATTATATGTGCGTTAATTTGAATGTTAGTGTAACAAAAATATATAATAAACATACGAAGACGCGAAACACAAATGAAGTAAGACTAACAGTTAAACAGTGCAATAATGAGAAACATTAATTTTATGCTAATTATTTCAATAAAATAACCTCCGTAGTGTTAGCAAACTGCAATGCACTTTTAAACACGCGGAAAACGCCGAATGATACGCAATATATGGTATAACTGCTAATTAGTCTCGCGTAAACTTATTGATACGCATTATACTTTAATCGATTTGTTTGTAAACTATAAGTTGTATAAAACATTTTTTTTTTCTCTTTATTATCTCTGCATTATTATTCAATGTTCGTCACGTATGTTCGGAACATTTTACAATAACAAAAGGTCAATCACGTTGCGTCTCGTTATTATTTTAGGCAGATCAGTGTCAACTTAAGGGCACGTATCGTCTCAAACGACTGTTCAATAGACCTGCAAAACGTAAACAGATAAATGTTAAACAGATAAACACACGATAATATAATAATTATCCGACGTTTATATGTAAAATCGATTGATGTTTATTTATTTGATTACATTTATATGCGATGAATGATTCTTATACGTTTGACCCGATAGTCGGTATCGGTCAGGTCACTAGATGTAAATATATACCATTCAGCGAAAAGTAGTTTGAAAATAATGTTCATGTTCCATTGTTATATTAACGGTGAGAAAATATTCAATAAAATAAGTATAAACCGAATAGGCGTGATTTGAGAGACGCTTGTTCAACAACAACAAAAATAAGATTTAGTCCCTTGGAGTTGGTGAAAAAACAAAGAAAAAAAAATCATAAAAAAAAAGCAAAAAAGCGAAGGTCGACCAAGTTATAACATTTGAATTTATAAATATTTTGGATTACTTAGAGAAACCCAAATACAACCTAACCTAAAAGAGTGCATTAAACATTTGTTATCGACTCCTTTCCTCTTGAACCGCTGCTTCAGATAGTCCGATCGAAAGCAAAAAAGTATCGTGTTTGGACACATGGGAAAACCGCGGTGCTGACGTGTCGTGTCTAATTGTTCAGCACAAAAAACGTTTACCGAACAAATACGCGCAAAGGGTTAAACGCTAAAGACGTGGCAACGGACAGGAAGCATAGTGGCGTGGCCAAATCTTCGAGAAGCCAGTGCCGGATCACCCATTAGGCGAAATAGACGCCCGCCTTAGGGCCTCACTCATTTAAGAAGCCCTGTGAAAACGGAAAACTATATTTTTTTTTTTTTAATTAATAATACCAGTATTTTATTTACGAATTTACGGGACAAAAGTCATTACGAAGTATAATATACAAGTTGTAGGTGTTATATGCAATAATAATGATAGTATTATTTTGAAAAAAAAAATAGGAATAATATAATAAGTAAATCATTTTTCTCGCAAATAAAAAAAATTAACAAATATGATTTTATTAATTAATAATAGTTGGTTATTATTAAAGCTTTTTATTTTAATTATTGGATAGTAATTTTAAAGATGTATGTAAAAAATATATTTGTAGGGCCCAAAATTTTGATTGCCTAAGGGCCCACAAATGTTTAATCCGGCACTACGAGAGGCAGTTGCCTCTGAGATTTCTAGGGGTGGATCATGTTAATGGGAACATAAACTACAACTAAATGAAGCTGAATTCAACATTTTTCTTTCACGGTAAAACAATACGTATGACTAAGGTGACTATATATTTTTCTTGTCCAAACGGGACAAAATAAAAAAAATAATATCTTCATAGTTTTGATTATAAACAATTTTTTTTATTTAACAATTAACAAAATAAAATACTATTTTGGTTTTAAGGAAAAAAACAAAATGTAATTAATTAATTACAATTATTTATAAGTGATTCATTTTTATTATGAACAACTTTTTTTTATACATAAGAGTCTACGTAAAGAAAATGGTAAACGATTACTGTAACACTGAAATAATGAACTATGAAAATAATGTTACGTTGATATTGCGGTGTTTATATATTATTAGTGTAGTTAATAGTTATGTATCCTGATGCACCACTCCCCCTGGTATTCACTGTCCACCATGCAATAATACAGTGCACGCACGTCGCATGCAAACATACCGGTTATAATAAAAACAATAATTCATCAAAAAACATTATAATTCACCATCATCATTTTTACTGATTTCTGAAAACGGGACATTTTAACGTCTCGAAGATTCCCCTGGGAAAAACGGGACAATGAAACGAATAACGGGCGGCAGGATGTATAACCATGAGACTATGGAACGAACTATTACAAGTCATAAATCCAAACTCAACGTTTTAAAACTTTTCAAAAGTCATAGATATAGCTCGGTCGGTAGGTGGCTGATACTCGTCATCAAACTCTCTGTCAGTTCTCCGTTCCAATCGCGATTATAACCATTTCGGCAGGAAATAGTGACAATCAGAGGATTTTTGTTCTTCCGCCGCCGAACGAGTGACAACACGTGACCGCTTCGTGCCGGATCGCCGCCGATGAGAACGTTGACGAGCGCGCTCTAGCGGCGACGAAACCCGGTCGGCTCGACGTGCACGCGGCCACGCGACAATCAACGTTTTTTGTAATCGGATTTTCGTTGTGCTATCGACTATTGAACCGCCGTCGACCCTGCCGACCCCTGTGACCGGCTTATCAATCGTCTCGATCACCGCGGTGCATTGTCGTCTCAGCAATAATACGGATATTTAATAAAAACAACAATACTAATCTCTTCTGTCTATCCGTACCGTTCGTTTTGCCTCTTTAAAAACGCCGTCCACTGACAACGGGAGTCTTCTCTCCGGTTCCGTGTCCGTCGCCGTCGATCACACAATGCGTGCAAACAAGACGGCCCCCGGCGGATTGTCGCGATTCAGTCACCGTCGCTCGCCGTCATGAACGTCGACGACGACTCGGCCGCGGTCCCGTACGACCCGGCCGACGATGACGTGGTGATCGCGGTCGACGACGACGTTTGCGGGACGGATGACGACGACGTTGGCGAGACGGACGACGTGGATCCGTAAGCCCAACTGCCCGTTCCCGAATGCCCGTTCACCGCGCGCCCCTCCCATTGCCGTCCGCGGAGATGATCGTAATACCCACTGACCAGGTTTTGCTCACGTCTTGTGTTTCAGGAGGACGCGATCGCTGAACGCCCCCAGCCCCGTCCAACAGTTCGGACCATGTGGCCGTATCATGAAGAACTCCGCGATGGTCATGTGAGTCCTGCAAACGCCCAGTTCCAACGCCAACTTCGTTACTTATAGTGTGCTTTTTTTTTTTTTCGTTTTATTTGATCTCACCAGAACGGTCCAGGATCCGGCCAGCCAACGTCTTACGTGGTACAAGAATCCACTGTCGGTGTTGGTGATAAAAAAAGTTCGAGACATGTCCGTGTTACCGCCGTTCATACAACTCGTCAGATGGCTGATACAGGTAAGCGCTGTGCTGTGTACCACAGTACTGCTGTCTATCATTGTTTTGGTTTTACCTTGTTACTCATCATCCAGTTTCGTGCTCTAGGAGAAAAGCATGATTGTATTCGTTGAGCACTCAGTGATGGAAGACACTATGCTCACTAGCAACTCAGGCTTTATGGAAATACGAGAGAAACTTAAGTCATTCCAAGATGGCAAAGACGATCTGACCGATAAAATAGACTTTATTATTTGCCTAGGCGGGGACGGCACACTGCTCTATGCTAGTCTATTGTTTCAGGTACGCCATGTAAACACTTTGTTTTGCAACGTGTTTACAATTGTGTTTATGTTTAGAAATCTGTACCACCAATTATGGCGTTCCATTTGGGTTCACTTGGATTTTTGACACCTTTTAAGTTCGATAATTTTCAACAGCAAGTGACCAATGTACTAGAAGGACACGCTGCGCTGACATTACGCAGTAGACTGAGATGCATAATTGTTAGGAAAAATGAGGATAAAGAAAAACCACCATTAAATTTACTTGTGTTGAATGAAGTAGTTATTGACCGTGGGCCATCACCATATCTGTCAAACATTGACTTGTTTTTGGATGGAAAACACATTACATCTGTCCAAGGAGATGGTAATGCATATTTTATTTTTAAATAATGTTTAGTTATTATTATATTATTGAATGACAAAAAAACAGAATAAAATATTATATTTTATAATTGTAGTTTTGTATTATAAAAGACTAAATATCCCACCAAGATAGTTAAAGTTCATCTTTAACAAGTTGACTGCCACGGTGTTTTTATAGAGCTGTTCTCAAACGCTTTGAGTACCAGAATAGGTACTCGCTGTGTTTGTCTCGTGCGCTCTTGTATTTTTAGACAGATGCTAACATGGGCTGTTTGCTGTATTCAGTTTGAAATTTTCTCCTCTTTCTACTCCATTAAACGAATTGAGCATCAGAAAAGGTTCTCAGTGACGTAATCACCAAAAAAAATGAGTACCCAAATTGACTCTCAAACCCTGAGAGTCAAATGGTGTGAGTACCAGAATTGGTACTCAAAGCCTGTAGAACAAAACGTGTTTAAAATGTGTGGCACAGGAGACAAACCACGTGAGTACCAAATATGGTCCTCGTGGCAGTCAACTTGTTAAATTCAGCATCTGTGATGTTTTTATCACTGCATATTTTAAATAACTATTGAATAAACAAATTTTAAATAATTTCTTGATTGTGTTTACACAATGAATACTCTGTAATTGATATAATATATATATATATATTAATTTATATGATTTTCCAAAAATTTAACTGATATATATGTGTGTGTGTATGTGTGTTGTCTATCATCAAAAAAAAATTATAATTGCCCACATTTATTATAAGTAGGGTCTAAATTTCAATGCAAAGTGCTTTTTTTTTTTTTTTTAGGCAATTTTCGGCAAGTTTTTAGAACATTTATTGATGGTTTTTAAGGGTCATTGTTATAAATTTACATTGTATACACGTATGAACGTGTATAATTTTTTATGAACTTTCATAGATTTTTGTTTCCATTAGTCTTGATCATAAAATATTATAGCTCGACAATTGATAAAAATATAATCATGTAAGTGTATGTGTCTAATTCTGATATTTTATTTTTGTAATTAGGTTTGATTGTTTCAACACCAACTGGAAGTACGGCGTATGCAGTTGCAGCTGGTGCATCAATGATTCACCCAAGTGTTCCAGCTATTATGGTGACACCTATATGTCCTCATTCTTTGTCATTCAGGCCAATAGTAGTACCAGCTGGTGTTGAATTAAAAGTAAATTATTATTTTGAAGGGATTCCACACCTATTTATAGTTGAATGATGGGATTATTTTAGTTCAATTTATAATTTAATTATTATTACATAGTCTATGAATATGTATGACGTTAAATATCTTACAATATTTTTACTTGATATTTTTTATAATTTGAGATTGGAAATAATTTTTAAAGTTTACCAAAATAATATTTTAATTGATTTTTTAAATTCACACCGAGATGACGGTAATGGTCGTAACATAACTGAAATAATAATGATTTTAATAAGAAATGTTGGAAAAAAAATGTTAAAAAATGTATTTTAATTTCAGTATATAATCTACTGTTATCATAAAAATTTTGAAATAAGTAAAATAAATTATCGTTTTTTAATTAAAATAATTAAGTATCTCAAGCAATCATTTAAATTACATACAATTGAGAAACTTTCATCGCTATGCCCTTGAAATTAATGAACTAACTTTTTTTATTTCTAGTACCTTCAATTATAGAATATGAAAGACAAATTTAAATTACTTATTTTACCTAATATTATGTAATATTTATTAGTTTAATATTTTGAAAATAATATTAAGTTAAAGATAAGCAAGTATCAGATTTGTATTCTTAATATTTGTTAGATATTTTAAAACATTTTTCATCAAAATTATGTTAAGTATGAATTAATTTTTAAATGCATTATTTAACAAATTGTAAAATGATAAGTATTAGATTTTGAAAAAGTTATTAAATTATTAGTATACATTAAAATTGGTGTAATAAATAATACTTATTTTTAAATTAAGAAGAAGAATAAATTTAATTAATAATCTTGAACTTTTGAACCATTTAATTAAATTGTTATTGATGTGTATAGATATGTAGGTTATTTTGTTAATGTGAATACTAATAATTATTTATGACTGGTACCAAAAGGATAAATTATATTTTTTAAATATTAATTTATTCACACTCATGGTGTGGAATCTACTTTGTTTTTTTAGAATTTTGATTAGTTTGTAATTTATTAAACATATACACATAAATAATATTTAAAGAGATAAACGCAGTTAGGCTATATTTTGTTTCTTTATATAGATAATGGTATCACCAGATAGTCGCAATACGGCCTGGGTTTCATTTGATGGTCGTAGTCGGCAAGAGATTTTTCATGGTGATAGGTAATAGGAGAGAAAATATTGAAAATTTTACTCATTTTAAAGTCAAATTTAAATAGCTGTTGTGTATGAATGTGCTTATGTTTGTTTAAATGCTTTTGAATTGCACATGGTTATCATTTTAAACTCAAATATTTTTAGTTATTTGTTGATTTAATATTTAAAATTTATGCTAGTTAAATTTAAGAATTTTGAAGTAAATTTAGTATAATGGTATATCTAATAAAAAATAAGTCAATTGGCTTCTACTAATGAAAATAGTGAATGTTATGCGGGTTATAATTTTGTTACTGATAAAGCAGGATACTTGTTACAGATTATGTTGAGTCCAGATGCCCGATCAACCGCTTGGGTTTCATTTGATGGCCGAAATCAACAGGAATTATGTGCAGACGATAGGTCGGTCTATATGAAATGTAGAATAATAATTGGTGATAGATTATGAGCACAGTAAACTTAATTTAATGTTCACATAAGTGACTTAAACAGTATACTATATTATACAACATCAAAAATGTTAGTTGTTTTTTTTTCAAAAAAGATCTATATAATATTTATCAAGTACAAATTACATTCTTTAAAACATATTTTATACTTATTAATACTGCACGACAACCATTTAACCATACTAATCAAATAGATGTTAATACTATTGAAATATAATACGATAACCATGTGTATACATTTGCTTAAGTTTTGGTTTTTCTTTGATTTTCTTGGAATACTTACCAGGTTTTAATTAAATTATTATATTATTTTATTATATTTGCAGCTTGCGAGTAACTACATCCATTTATTCAGTACCATCAATATGTGCTCAGGACCAGATAACTGACTGGTTCGATTCATTAGCTGAATGCCTACACTGGAATGTGCGCAAACGACAGAAACATTTTGAGGAACTGTCTGATCTGACACATTCCAAGTATGATGATGCACTGGATTCAACGTCCAAAGATAATTATTTATTAACTACGGGTAAATATTCAGATCAATTTTATAACTACTTTAATTTAAACACTGTGTTTACCATTGACTAACATCAATAATATGAGTGCAACATAATGCATTTACCAATATCATATTTTGTTGATATTTTCAGACTAGCAGGGTATATTCAACGGAGTCTAACTATATCTAACAGATACTTGATCTTTCAGATGAGAAGTACATATGCTACCATTGGTGCTTTCAAATGGACTTCAAAATTATGAATAATACATTTCTTTTTTCTACTGTGTTGTAAATAACTAAAAGGTTATACATTTTTGTGTGGCTGTTTTGGGGGTTTAAAAATCCTATTTATCATACAGTTATATAGTTGCAGTACTGACATTTTAGTTTTTTTTGTTTAATGTAATGTGTCTTTAATACATAATTGGTGAATTAGATGTACTTCAATTGGTGAAAATTAGTTTTTTTTACAAAACAGTACATGTTGTAGTCATTAAATAACAAATAAATGTAGGAATAATTTATTCTTGGATAGAACTCAATGATTTCATCTAGTTATATAATTTCTCTCCTTTTTTAAGACAATATTTAAGTTTTAATTTGTTTTTGATATTGTTAAGAGGGCAAATGTTTATTATTATTTTTAGCTCAACATTTGTAAAAATCATAAGATTATAAGATTTTTAATTGTTTTTTCATTTATTTAAACACATAATTATTTATTAATGACTAAAGAGTATACATTAAGTAATATATTATAATAATAGTTTCATAAATCTTTAGAAATTTTTTATTATTTCCATCTAAGCATTACACCTTTCATCTCACTTCTATTATCTATAATATGTATACAGCTAATGCAGTGATCTGAATTGAATGGTATTTTTTTCATTGACGTTGAACCTGCTTTCAAAATATCTACAAATGTCCTTTACTGGAACAGCGCTCAGATCCAAATTGTACATTGATTTAGACTTGATTTTCGCTGTGGAAGGTGAAATATGGTGCAAATTGTCTACACTTTTTGATGGACACATTAGCGAACCTTCAAACATCATACGCTTTTGCTTAACAGGCGTAAGATCTGAAAACTCATTGGCAGGTGACCTGCGAGATTGTTCGCACTCTCTAATTAAATCCGGCAAGTGTGAAACATTCTTCTTGAACATACGTGTACCAGTCCTGTATGATAAAGTTTGATTATTGTTAACTTCTTGCATATCCAAATTGGTCTTTTTGGGCTTGGATGCAGATACTGGTGCTGAACTTGATAATGAGTATTGTCGACATGGTGTGTGGTCTGAGACAATACCGAGTATGTCAAGATATTTGACATTTTCCAAAGGTGTTTGACTCAAAAGTTGTCCGGCAATAGTTGTAATCCAATGATGATAGTCCGTTTCGGTATCCACCTGAAAAATATAATAATTTTTAAAGTACTAGATATAGCTATAGTTTTTAGAAATATTAATTATCAATTATCAATAGATCAATCGATCTAAGTACACCATTCAGGTGAGTCTATTCAACTTGGCTCTAACCAATCGTACCTAATTTTCACTTTGTACTTATGTGATTGTTACACGACCGCAGGGTACGTATTATAATCCTTATTTTTGAATATCGTACGCGCATGTTTTTCAACCGACAACACTATTGGACGTTTTTTCGATTCCTTCTTTTATGTAAATTCATCCCCCCCTGAGTGTCCTCGACCAACCGACGGCGAACGAATGTATATAAATACAAATCATCGGCTCCGGTACCAAGTCCACGGACCCGTTGCATACTAAACAGGTCCATATTGAGGTCTGGTGGCGCTCCTGGCAAATTAATGTATTTGCCAACCCCTCCCCCTCCCCCACCAATAGAAAGTTGCATTTTTGTACAAAAAATTATTTGAGATATAAAGCATTTACAAAAACATAGTATACAAGGTAATAATTACTAATAAACTTTAATAACTATTTGTATTACTTTAAAATATAAACAATCAATACATTAAAAAAACATGTAATTTTCTGCAAATGTTTTTGTATTATAATTATATTAGTTGATGTTAAATTTATTAATTACAATGGTACTTTTCCTGCTCTTATAGAGGGCAATTTATCAATGACATTATCAAATGAAATTGTTTTAACTACATATTTTTCATATTTCGTGAAAAATAATACATAAGCAGTGTTAAAATATGCGCCCCTGGCCCATGCCCTCTTGCCCTGCAATGAATACGGTCCTGAAGCCAAACAAAACGGTGGACTGTTGTGTGACAGATTGGTCGCAGCTATGTTATCTAAACCCATCGTATTAACTAGGTAATAATATTGTTGCCTTACGCAAGCCTAAACACGTTTTTTAGCCGAATCGGCTCTCGAATGTCGAGTATATTATTGTACGACGAGGGGAGACATAGCGCTCACGACGTTAACTGTCAATTACATAACAGTTGGCACGGGTTACCATCTAGGCGCGAGCAATTGAAAATCCTAACAATATCAAGTCGTGTGTGTCATCTCCGCCTCCCATTCGGACCAACGCTGTGGGGTCCGATATCGGGTGAATACATTTAATTCACAATATTTTATATCTAAGTGATGAACATCATCGCTCATTTGATAAATATAAATATATATATATATATATATATATATATATATATATATATGTATATAGATTTTACGAGATCGAAGAACCCTCGGAATCCCGCAACAGGGCTACAAATATTGATCAGTGAACTTTTGAGTACCTAATGCAGAACCGGCCCGGCCAGCTATACATCGCAGGGATTCCACTCGATAACTGCGTCGGCGTATGTTCGATTTTCTCAACGAACACCGATAGTCACACGTTACAGTATGTAAATCGATAATCCAATAACTGTACGTAATGTGTACGGTGTGCTTGTTGAACTCCGTAAAACAATGTGTACGACTGTAGTACCGTACCTAGTTCTGCGTCGTTATAATAGACAATAGGTATGTCGAGCGCATTTATATCGCTAACCACTGTGAACAATTATTCTTGAAAATGTATGATTTGTTTTGATATACGATCGGGAGAAAAAAAATGTGTACCTACTCGTGGTTTATTCCGGTTATTAATACAAGAACAGTACTGCAGTTTACAGCTGCCTTTGAAAAAATAAATTGATCCAATTCGAACGGTGATCACACATTATTGTGTCCAAGTAGGTACGCCGAAAAAAAAGACAATAATTATTAAGAACGTTACAGGAACGTGTCACATCATTCACCAGCGAATATATTGCGGTTTTAGAAAAACAAAAACACTGCTACAAATGTACACACATGCGTTTAGAAATTTCAATCGAAAAAGGAAAAAAAAAGATAAAACGTGAGTATACCAACCACACACGTAAGTACGTTAAGATGCGTCACACATAAAGTATTAGGCGATGGAAGTACTTTCATGCGTTCGTACGCATTTCAGGAGGATTTCAACGCATTTGTTTGTCGTCGTCGTCTGTACATCACATACACGTTGATTGTAGCAACACCGACCTGCGAAATGTTTTCTTCTTTTGAATAAAAAAAAAATTAACAAAATTCGACAGTTCTATAGGGCGTGAGAGTTTTTTCCTGTAAGACATGTTTTTGAGAATTAAAACTGCACTGGCTCCGACCCCTTTAATATATTTTAGATTCTGAGCCAAGTTGGATTTACTGCAATGCAGTGCTCGACTTGAGCGGGGACGCAGGGGGACGGAGTACCCCTTCTAATTTTTATAAATTTTAGCGTCCCCCTACTATAAATACGTTATAATTATAACGCTCAACAAGTTTTGGGGACGCAAATTTTTTTCAAGCAAACAGAGTCCCTCTTCTTTAATTTTGCCAAATCAAGCACTGCTACAATGTGTATTTTTATGCATGTAACACTATTGTGAGTTAAGTATGCTGTATGCAGCATAGACGTATAATAGAATTCTACATGGGCGTCCCCAGACATTTTTCTAGGGGGGGGGGCAAAATTAATTTAAAAAATAAATGAAAATTTTTTTATACATTTTATTTATAGTAAATTATTATATTTCGTCATTATTAAAACTATGAATTAAAACATTACTGACATTTATGTATAATGTACAATTAAAACATTACTCAAAAAATACATTAAGATAAAATAGTCCGATTATTATTAATGATAGTTTTCATAGATAGCCGTCAGCCGTGCGTTGACATAATATGTTATGGAAACTTAGTAGACCTATTTTTAGAAACTAATTTATCATTTGGAATTTTACCAATTTATGTGGAAATAACATTATTCCGGGGGGGGGGTAAGTGCCCCGTCTTGCCCCCCCCTGGGGACGCCCATGGAATTCTATTATACGTCTATGGTATGCAGTATGCCATGTAGAACATGGAATATTTATGGGGAAGAGGGGCCAAATCTCCTAGTTGCGCCTATGGTTGCAGTCCAACAATTTCTAAAATATTTGTTTTACCGAATGCCGGTTTTGAAAAATCGAGATATTTCATGCTTTGCGCGTGTACAGTGTGTGCTTTGGTGACATGGACTGGATTTATTGCATTCCGTGGATTCGGGTGCAGTTATCGGTGGTGTACTCTTGCGCAACAATATTTTATAACACGTACACGTAGCATGTGGGGGTACACCTATGCGTAGCAGGAAAAAAAATAAATAAAAAACAGAGCCGCTGTGATTTATACACCATAATTATGTGTCCAGCGAACGCATTTGTGTCTGTACAAGTCGTGATTTGAAAAGACTCTTTCGACCGGCCGAACAAAGTCACACTCGTACGCTTATTGTGCTGGCGCAAGCGTATGCGTTCTATAACAATGTATAATAGGTACCTAATCAATATGTACACATATGCACTACGGCGGCAACGTGAAAACATACACATAAGTGAACTCTGCCCAAACACAATAAAAGTTAGACAGGTACCCACACACAACTGTATTATTATTGTGTTATTTTCTACAGCGTGTCAGCGTTATAATACATTAGTCATTATAATATTATTATTTATAGGTCCCACTGTTGAAGCACTATTGTCGAGTGTGTTTGTACGGCGCTATCGGGGTCGGTAAATATCAATTTATAATCGTAATCTCGCTTCAAATTGTGTGCAACGGCTTGCCTAAAGTACGGGGACGCGACATATTGTTCCGGATCGGAACGCCCCGCGTTTATAAACATCGACAATATTACACGCGGTCGATGAAAAGTATGAAAAAAATGTTTTAGGTACACGCACGCATACGGTAAACGTGTATGGATTTCATTAATTCGATTGCATGGACGCCATACACTTGTATAAATATCAGGGGCGGAACTAGGGGTGGAAGATGGGGATTCATCCCCGGGCGTGAAATTTTAGAGGGTTTAATTTTTGTAATAATTAACAACTAATTTGATATTTTTAATTTTGTTAAATACTGATATTAGGTTAAAACTCATTAAGTATGATTGTATATTATTATTAGAAAAAAATTCTCGAGAAGAGAATTTGATTATTGGTCTATGATAGGGCGTAATTTTAACATTTTACCCGGGCGTAAAAATTTCTAATTCCTAGGCTACGTTTTTAGTTATTCTAATTTCTAAATACTTATAACCAGGGTTGGAATTTTATAGCATTTGCATATTTCTTATAAGATGCTTAAAAAATAGTAGAGTTAGCTAAAAATGTGTTTCATGATACAGAGAACTCAAATAAAAAATTTTATTTTTTTTTTTAGTTTATAGTGCTTTTTTTGGATTTTTGAGACTTTTTTGCCTTTTACCTGTGTTTTAATCAAAATCGGGCATATTTTATGAAATTGTATTTTGGTAAACGTGTTTTTTGATTTTTGTTAATCGAATTTTCAAGATTCATTTTAATTTTAATTTTAAATTAAATTATAAATGTATAGATTAAGTAAATAGACCAATTACGCTAATGCAACTATGTACAATTACAGCGATAATATACAAGTAGGTATAATATAATACAATAATTTCGTTTTAGTTATTTGGTTCTAATTTTTATTATCTGCTGATTTTGTTGGTTTTTTTGTCGATTTCTACTAATAGCCGATTATCAACGAACGAGTGTAAAATTCACTTTATACAGTCCACATTCGTCTTGCGTGCTCGTATAAAATTATTAATTAATAAATTTCCTTTTTTTTTTGTTGTTTTATTGCATATTTTTAGAGCTTATTTAGCGATTTTTAAGGTAATATTATAACGCATATTTATGCAATTGTAAGTGCTATAAAATCCCAACCCTGCTTATAACTTTAATTCATTATGGTTATTGCCGGAGTGTGAAATGATATAATAAAATTATACGTGACTTTGATATTCTTTTAGTTTTTTTTACAATTATTTTGGCTGTTAAATAAAATTGTTTGTCTAACTATCAACAATAATCCGGTATGGTCTAGTGGCTAGGATACCTGGCTTTCACCCAGGAGGCTCGGGTTCGATTCCCGGTACCGGAATAAATTTTTTTACTAACTAACCAAATTTTTTACGGGAAACCTCCATTCTTTTTTCTTCTCTACCATACTTTTTTTGTCTTTTCCTTTTTCAATTAACTCATGCACTTCAAAAAATAGCCTTCAATACAAAACTAATAAAATAATCACCAACAAATTATGAAACCAATCAGATTGACGAGGGATACAATTATCAGCGTATTGTTATGTGTGTATATTCAGAAGATTACAATATGAGAGTTTATAATTAAATCAATTGGTGAAAGATGAGAGGATGTTTCATGCACGTTGAAATATTAATAAAGAGCAATTTGAGAGAACGCACATAACAAGAATTTTGGCTAAAAATCGGTAGAAATCCATAATTCATGTTGTGCCCTATTCGTTTTACACCCCTGCTGAGATTATGTCGAAACACTTCAAATAGGTCCGCTGGAACTGTTGACTGATTTTCAAGCATGTTACACCGTAAGTTCTTCGTTAACCGCGGTCAAATTAAACATGAATAGTTTCCTGGGCGCAGGGCCATCGAAATTACCTTGTAGTTATATTGTAAATATATATTGTTGGTCATATATTAACAAACAATTTGTTGTTAAATGCTTTTTAAAAAATAAAACTATTTTAATTTGCAAAATTAAATTGTTCTTCTTTTTAAAGTGTAAATATTAGATAAAATATTATGTAAATAGATTTGTATGAAATAATAGTTAATAAGTGATAAGAACGTTTTAGCATTTACCACAGTCTATATGAAAAGTCTGTGTATGTATTAAGTTGAAGAATAGTATACTAGTATTATTTAGCATATGTAGTGAAAAAAAATTTTGGGGTATTTATTTTTAGAAAATAGCGTATACCCAAGACATTTTTTATCAATACATCCCTGGAAATCGGAATATAATCTTTATCGTCCCGAAAGATTGAACAGTATAAAAAGAGCGTATCTAATAATAAATTCTTGTTTAATATCTATCAACAGTAGGTTATAATTATAACTATAATGGCTTCGAAAACTTTATGATTTTAATTCAATACAAATTTTTTAAACGCAATTAAATGTTCATTTATATGGGATATGAAAAATAAATAAATCTACGTCGTCACCTTCAATGATATAGATGACTTTATTGAATTAAATTAAACTTAGTAACTGAGAAATAAAAAATATTTTTATGCATCAGCCGGGAATCGAACCCGGGCCGCCCGCGTGGCAGGCGAGCATTCTACCACTGAACCACTGATGCTTATGGAAAACGAATGTAAATTTAGGCTATAAAAACTACTCATATATGCGTATACATATGCATTAATAAATATGATATGTGGTATAATGTGCAGCAAAAATTTAGAAAATATTCAAAAATATGCAATTTATTGAATAAAATACAACTCACATAAATTATTTACATAAGGGAAAAAAATAAGCACTGCACATTCGAGTATTGTTGTATCTTCCTGCTATACAATCTAAACAATATTCACGTTAGTCCAATCGTCTTGTGTGATGTATAAATACTGATAACGATTCTTTATATTATTGTACAATAATAAAACCTTGGTAAATTTTGATGTAAATAAATTCGGACCGGTCAGCGATAAAAAGTACGATTTCTCATGAAGATAAAGATAAAATCATTTGTTAAGTTCGTTGGGAGCAATACTAAAATAATCACGGAAGAGTTAATTAATTTGGTCAAGCGATATAAAATGTAAAATTTTGGTTGTCATATATCTAATATAAATTTGTAAAAAAAAAATCGTTAAATCTATGAAGTATGCATATACAGTTATTAAATCTAAAATATGCAAAATTACAGGCCTGTATTTAAAGGAGGCTTGGGAAGGCACGTGCTCGGAGGCGTCGTCAAGTCTCAGGGGCGGCAAAATATTTTAGCAAAATTAATTTTAAAAATTATGTACCTAATGAAAAAAAATTGTATGTTTTATTATGTTATAATTTGTTTAATTTGTTATTTAAAAAAAGTATTAAACGATTTTCATTAATAAGTTATATTTTAATATTAAAAAATCTCGATTATGGACGAAATAATAAGTGTTATATTATTATTATTTATTTGGGAGGGGGCATCAATTATATGCCCGGGGGGCGTCAAATTTTTAAATACGGGCCTGCAAAATTATGCAACAAACATTTTTATATTTATAATCTATGTACTATAGATCGAATTTGTATCTAACCAGAATTGTAATATGCACTTGCTAAACAAATATACAAATGCCTTAAATTCCGAGCCCAGTTTAATAAGTATATGACATAATACATTACAATGGAACACACTGATGTCCTTAACTGAATATATAGGTAGAGAGAGGTAGAAATCATTGTTATTCATTTTTTTTTCATTTCAAAATCGCCATTTCAAAATTGATTTTGGTGAAGCACTTTCTAATAGAGCCAACATCTTTCATTCCTTCATGGATATATCCTCTACCTTATTATTCACAACATTTATACCATACCCCTTGTCTCTCCAAAGTATTTATATATGGCACTCAAATTCCAGATTCATCATTTGTTAAATATATCGAACTAAGTCTAGATAAAAGATTGACATGGGTAGAATTTAAAGAGAGCCTAAAAAAATATCATTCTTTTCACCTAAAATTTGATTGTTTAAAAATCAAATTATCCAGTTTTCATATATTCTACATAATAAATTCATTATTTTTAATCACCCTTCAAATAAAGAATATATTTTTTTTACTTTTAAATTATAATGGATTACGATTTTAGTGTAGCTACAAAAAAATGCTGAAAGTAAGTGGACACACCTTGTGAGGGCGTAAAAGCTGACCTCAAAATGTGTTCGTTGGAAACGAGTCGTAGTAAAATAATAAATAATATAAGTATACTTTTTTGAAGAGATCAAGTAAAAGCTATATGATCTCTCCGAATAAGATTAGATATTTTTTATGAAATCAGTGGTTTTTTAAAAATACAAACAAAGTAATTTAAAAAATATATAATATTATCATATCATATTATTGTACTCACCACCACGGTGACGATGGGCGATCCGCAACCGGGTCTGACCAGGTTGAAACCGTAAGTGGCGTGTTCGGAGGGCGTGAGGTTCAGGTACCGGAGCAACAGTTTCCAACAGTAGCCGGCCGGCCCGTCCCATCGGATCAACAGGTGACCATCCCGTACTTCGGCCACACTGTTGCCACTGAACTTTCCATCGTGGATGCCACGTTCGCGGGCTACCGTGCAAGCTGGATCATCTCCCAACGTGGCCGTTACCGAACCTGTGCACACGCAACAACACGCAATCATGATTACTACCACTAGCAAACATAGAATACGTAACTAAAAACTTAAATTTTTCTCATAATCTACGGCATACATTTTTTCTGTTCAACAAACCTATTTCATTATCTGAATAATACAACCTATGTCTTAAAATGCCAAAAAATAATTATAAATTGTTAATATATTACTCTCCATCTCTAATAAAGGTTATTATTAGCTTGAAATAAATAGATGTAAATGATTTAGGTTTTTCTTTGTGTAATTTATGATAATTTTAAGAAAAAAAAAAAAAAGAGCTTAGTGTTGAAAACGGGTTCTTTGTAGTTCGGTGGAAATACAGTATGCGAACGGTTACACGGACAACATTTTTCATTGCGTAGTTTTACCGACCAGTTATTCTTACATTTTCAACGAACTGCATAGGCGTGCACGTTACGTTATACATTTGTATAACACCATAGGCGTACATTCAAACTAAAATTAGGGTGTGCTAAAATTATTCACACCGAGTTGTTTCTTGAGGCTAAGTTCCCCACAACCTATATCAGGCACAAAATATTTTAGTTTTACCTTTTAGCTATAAATTTAGCAATTTTCTATATTATAACCAAATAATATTAAACCTTTCAAACCTGAGTTTTTTTTTCATAAAAAAAAAAAAAATGTTTTTTTCATTAATTGTATAAACAGATAAAAAAAATAATGTTCACCAATTTTTAGGTAGTTTTAATTATTTTTACCAAGAAAACAAGTAGGGTCACAAAAGTGACCCATCAGCTTGAACAGATGAAAATTAAGTATACCAATATTGTAGGTAAATTATTTTTATTTTATTATTTATTTATTAAAAAATCGATTATTCCTTTTCGATAATTGTAACTTTACATGCTTAATTCTAATCAAATAAATAAAAAAAATTTTCAAATATTAACAGTATACAACCTATTTTTAAAATCTTAATATAAAAACAATAAAATAAATAGAAAACTTTTGTAAATTAAATAAAATCCTGTTCTTGAATAATTTGAATGTCTCTACTTCATAATATGAAAATCAGCAAAAAAATTTCTCCCTGAAGCCAAACACAAATGTACTTTATATTTTTCGCAAAAAAAGTGTGTTCGATATTTTCATGAACATTTTAGATGTTTGCATTTTGTAGGAATTTTCAAGTTATAACAGTACCAATATATTAACCTAACTAACCATTATATCAATACCAGGCAAATGATCTTTTGTGTCATATGTTACTGCATCGGGAGGTATAGGACTGTCAGTTCTTAATTTTTATTTATTTGTGGTAATATTTGTGTGCATACATTTTCAAAATTAGATGAACATCTTGTATTCCTATCTGTAGACATTTTATTAGGCCTGCCTTTTCTTTTTGGAGTTGTTATTTTACGGGGTCTGAAAGGGTTAAACAATACATGTGCTATGAAATATGAAATGTGTCTACCAGTAAAGTTGGAATAGAAACTAGTACAAAATAAAAATAACAATAATATACAAATAAATAACAAATATTATTAAGATCATGAACAAGTTTATTTTTAGTATTTACTGCTGGTGTATTACAAAATGATGATGTGTTTATTATAGTAGTCCCGTTGGTCACGACAAGCAAAAATCTAGTGTTTTTTTTTGATAACATTTTTCTTATACCTACTAAAACGTACAGTTCAATCAACCATAATTGTCAAACATTTCATAATGATGATGTAGTACAACCATTATAGATTTTTCGAGGTTAACGACAACTTAGGAATACTTAACAATACGATGTGTAGATGCTGAAGTTGAAGACGGACTACGATATCGACTCTCAACGTCGCGTCGTGACCTTTAACGTACATAATAATACGTAAACATTGATAGTACTATTTTCAATTGCCATCCATCTCTTATGAGAAAATAATAAAATAAAATAATAATGACAATAATAAGACGTCGCGTAACCTTTAAAAACACCCAATGTCTCTTTCGCATTATCGCTGCACCACACAAACGACCAAATTGCGTGTAGAGAATCGTCGTTGTTCGACAAAAGCGTGGAACATTGTCACGTTATGTAACACCTTCGGAACTGCACAGCAGGAGCGTATCCAGGAATTATTTATGGGAGGGGGGGAGTCCAGAATTTTTATTTCGTCTGTTCTCTAATTATAATTATAATTTAACTCAATACCAACAAATTACTATTAATATACTATAGTATGGTTTATACATTATAGGTATATTATATAGTCTATAAACTTTGTATATTGAAGATAATGGGAAATTAAAATAAACTATATACTATTATTATACTATTTACTATTAAATCGTTGAGTATGCAGAAATTTCAATGGGGAGGGTCCGATACGCCTTTGCTGCACAGCAGTTCTGAATGTGGTTACTAATACGATAGGGCGTTGTGTCCGATACGATATTGCAAGGATCTCCAAGCTACGTTTGAAAAGGAAAACAGAATCAGAATGTCGTGTTTCAACGAAAAGTGGTCGTTGGATTATTTGATCATTCGTTCGGGTAACAAAATAATAAGTTCAATTTGCAAAGAAAGTATTTTTGTACTAAAAGAATAAGAAGACATTATGAAACAAAATATAAGACAACTTTTTCCAAATTTACCGGGATATTATATTTAGACAAATTAAAGTCATTTCAAAATAGTTTTTCATCATAACAATTATATTTAAATAACAAAATAATATTGATAAAGCTGCTGTGAAAGCTAGTTTTCGTATTTCACTTTTATTGGCAAAAAGAGGAAAAGTCTAATAAAATAATGTATAATTCAAGCAGTTGAAGACATTTGTCCAGAAAAAGTTGATACTTTTAAAAATATTAACCTTTCTGCTAACACTGTTATCGTAGAATAGACGATTTAGTAATAATTTAAATGCACAGGTTAATAATAAGGCTCGAGTTCATTTAATTTAGTATAGTACTTGACGAATCAACAGATGTATCTGATACGTCACAGTTATTTTTATTTATTCGTAGTGTTAATAAAGAATTAGAAATTTTAAATTTACTGCTTTCTGTACTTAGAATGCATGGAACTATGACAAGTATAGACATATTTAAAGTAATTGAAAAATCATTTTTAGAGTGGGAAAATTTGAAATGTATCACAACTGATGGTGGAAAAAATATGTGTGATACAAAAAAAAGTTTAATTGGACAGATATTTACGAGTTGAGAAAAAGAAGGTTTTAAACCAATGATTTTGCATTGTATTATTAGGCATTATGCGGAAAAACTTTATACTTGGTTTAACTGAAAAACTTTAGGTTTCTCTTGTATCAACAGTAAATTTTATTCGCTCGAGTGCACTTAGACATTGTCAGTTTCAAGATTTTTTTGAAAGAAATAGAAATAGAAACAGAATACCCAGATATACCGTATTTAATAGCAGTTCGATGAATTAGCCGCGGAAAAGTTTTATCGTGATTTTTTGAGCTAATAAATGAAATTGAAATATTTCTAATTGAAAACCATTGTCTTTACTTACAAATAGTGAGTGGCTTTGGAAATTAGCTTTTTTTATGGATATCACAAAATATATGAAAGACTTCAATCTCAGATTACAAGGTAGAGATGTTCTTATTTACGATATTTACACATTAGTAAAATCATTTAGGGAAAAAACTTATTTTATTTAAAACATAAATTTCAATAAATTGTTTTACTATTTTTTTTACTTGTGATAAATTTAACAAAGAATCTAAAATACAATTTACACGTTTTTCTGACCTTGACGTAAAATCTGAAAAAATATTTTCAAAATCCGTTTGGTTGTCACATTGAAAAATTACCTTCTACCCTTCAAATGGAAATGATTAATTTGCAATATAATGATGCACTGAAAATCAAACATCGTGAGTTGATTTTTATAAATTTCTCCCAGATACACAATAGCCAAATTTAAATTTAGACAATTTTGAAAATTGGAACTAGTAACATACAACCTCAATTCAATCAAATATTAGCATAAAACCATAAGCTTCATACTTCTCATGAATAAAAAAATGATTTCAAAAATTAATAAAATTAATATCAAGTGTATTTAAGTATATTGTAACAATATTTTATAAAAAATGTAAAGCAAACATATTTATATACCTATATTTTGATAAAATTAAAGATGATTTGTGTTAATAAGTTTTTGATATTTTTTGTGGCCATTGAGTAAAAGAAGTTTGGAGATCCTTGCGATATTGCAATGAAACGTTAACATTGTTAGTAGGATACTCCACTCCCGTTAATAATTCGTAATGATCATTATATTATAATTCAATACAGCGATTATTTAAACGCATGGCAAGTATAATGAAACGTAACGAGTACAATGAAATACATGAAAACATATTACGCGTACGCGATATTCTGTAGTAATACAATATACTTTATACAGTACTACAATTAAACAATATAATAGTAAATGTTTAGATACATATATATTGATCGCGGATATTCATCTGGGGCAAACATCTGTACGTAGAATATTTTGTATTTATCCATGCAGACGTAGCTCGTCGGGGAATCGTTTACGCACTTCATAATCGCTGTATTCGATTGAAAGTATCCGCTTAAGGTTACTCGCACACAAACATATGTATTCGAATGGAAACATAGTTCGCAATACGTCGATCTGCTCAAGATACGCAGATATAAGCACACGGATTTGACTATACGTTCGTTTACAAATACGTTGTGTTCGACATAAAAATGCCGAATTCGTCGCGACCTCATCCACCGTCTAATTTACGATTCGCATAATTATACATCGACCCCGGTCTTCGTATATATATGTATATTATACAATCCTATCGTAAGAGAGACCTTCTCCGCGGCAGAAAGAAAAAGAAAAATGTTCGCGGGACGTGCGTGCTACTGACGCCTAATAATCGAGTGTCAAGGCGCGCGCGCGTATCGTAGTCGTCGTCGTCGTCGTCGTCGTCGTCGATTCCGCCCGAATTTCGCACGCCGT